GGGGTTTTAACCCAATTTGGGAAAACACCCTTTAAAATTTTTGGGTTTTTTTTAAAAAAATTTTCTTAATTTTAAAAAAAAAAAAAAAAAACCAAACCCAAAAAAAATCCATCCAAAACCCCCCATTCAAAATTTTTTTTTTTTTTTTTGATTTTTAACAAAAAATTTCTTTTTAAAAATTTAAAAAAAGGGGGGGGGGGGGGGGAAAAAAAAAAGGAAAAAAAAAAAAAAAAAAAAAAAAGAAAAATATATAAAAAAAAAAACCAAAAAAAAAAATATATATAAATAAAATAAATGTAAAAAATTTAAAATAATAATAATAGTTTATAGTTTAGTTTAATATTTCTTTTATTTTTAGTTATATACAAAATTTATAAATTTAGTTTTTTTTTTTTTTTTTTTTTTTTTTATAACATTCCACCAAGTTTATTATTTAATAAATACTCTGCATCCTATATAAATAAAATAAAATGTAATATTAGTATTTTGTAAAATGATCATTAAAATGTTTTATTATTATAATAATTTTTGATGTTACTTGGAACTTTCTAAACTTTTCATAGGAATTACTAACTGGCTCTTTAAAAGCATTATTTAGTCTGAATCTAAAGTATTCATAATTTGAAAATTTTAAATCATCCCTTGCTTTTCTGATAAGTGACCTATAGATTTTAATAATTTCGTTATTGGTAACTGCTCTTGTTGTTGTGTTCATCATTTTAATTGAAAGTAATAATTTGGAAACAAGCTAAAAAAAATAAAAAAAAAATGAAAAAAAATTAAAAAAAAATAAAATTTTTTTTTTTTATGAATTTATATAAATTTCTTTTAAATAAAAATTATTTATAATATTTAAATTTTATAAATAAAAATTATAATTTTCGAAATAATGTAAAATTATGGTAATTGATTAATTAATGGATAACATACGTTGATGGGTATTTTGATACCAAAATCTTACAATATTGTTTCGGTATAAAAGGAATTTTTTTTTTTAATCAAAAACAGTTGTTTTTTTTTTTTTTTAAAATAAATATAAACAAATAATAAAAAAAATACAATTATTAAAAATAATATTAATAGAAAATAACAATATTTAAATAAAATAAAATAAAATAAAATAAATAAATAAAAATGAAAATTTTATTTTTAATAATAGTATTATTTACCTTTTATAATAATGCTACAAGTTTTAGATGGTTCGACTGTAGTGATGGAAGAGGACTATTATCAATAGGAAATATTACCGCCATAACAGATAGTCACGGAACAAGCCACTATAATATAGAGGGATATTTAAATAAAGAAATAAATAACGGTAGCATTCAAATAGATACTTATAATATGGGCACAAACCAACCAAATTACTATGATGAAATAAAAGATTTTTGCAATGTATTTACAAATTGTCCATATAAAGCTGGCTCATTTTCAGAATCAATATCTTTTAATATGAATAATAATAATAAAAATAATAATAATAATAATAATAATAATAATTTATTTTTTACAACTTTTTTAGCAATAGACGAAATAGATATTAAAACACTTCATCCAATTTTTTGCTTTACTATATTTAATTAAAATTCTAAATAAAATATATATATATACTTTAAATATAAATAATTTTTATTAAAACACCATTATCATTCTTTTTCAATTTCAATCATTAATTTGGTTTTTTTTTTTTTTTTTTTTTTTAAATAGAATAAATAATCTATTTTGTTTTGTTTTAATTTTTTGGTATTTAAAGATTGATATAAAATAATTTTCAAATTTTGGAAAAAATATTTTTTAAAATATCCCACAACTTTTCCAAATTCAAAAAAACCAACTCTTGAAATTTTTTTTAAAAAAAGTTATTCTTTGAGAGATGTGTCAAGTACACAGGAATCGAGATACTTCGCTTTAAAATATTCTTTAAGTAATGAACATTTAACCAAACATCCAATTTGTGTAAAATTTGTGTATAAAATGAAATATTGGTAGTAGTAACTTTAGCCCAAGGGGTTATGGTTCTGTGGAAATTATCTCGGAACACATACCTTGATCATTGGTGTAATCAACAGGCCTTCCAAGTACTATGGCTGGAGACAACCATAGGAACCGCAGGCGCTGTACATCGGTGTTCGGGTATAGAACTCATTGGTGTTCGGGTTGCTAACTCATTATTTCATCTCTCGATCCGCAATTACTCAGCTCATCTTTTTTTTTGGAGAGATAAAGAGAGTTTTCTTTCTATATCTGTTTATCAAAGGAACTTTTTTTCAATATTTTTAAGTTGGGTCGCTTACACTAATAATATTTATTATATATTTTACTGATTAATTTAAAGCATTTGCTTTTAATTATCTTCCCTTTAAAAAAAAAAAAAAAAAAAAAAAATATTTATTATATTAAGCTTTTTTAAAAAAAAAAAAAAAATTTGGCAAAAAAAAAATTTTTATAAAAAAAGTTTGTTTTTATAAATTCTTTTTTTTTTTTTTTTTATTAGATAATTTTTTTTTTTTTATTATGTATTTTTTTTATTGTGAAAATAAAAATAAAGTTAAATGTTCTATTCAAAAGAACCTTAACTAAAACCTCAATTTAGAAAATATAAAAAAAATTAGGTTTGGGTGATGAAAAATTATAAAAAATATTTTTTATAAAAATTTTTTTATAATACAGATTTTTTTTTTTGGTCTGGTAAAAAAAAAATTTTATTTTTATTTTTATTTTTATTTTTTTTTATTTTTTGGTTTTATTTTTTTATTTTTTTATACAAACTGTCAAAATTATAAGACATAAAATATAATAAAATGAAATTTATTAAATCTTTAATTTTAATAATATTTTTTATTGGTATTGTTTTATCACAATCATTCCCATGTCCATTCTATAGATCATTATCATTAAGCTCGCCAGTCTTAAGTGGAGGTGATATCTATATCCTTCAAAACCTTTTAACCAGAACCAAAGGTTTAGAAAATTTATCATTATCATCAAACTTTGATTCAGATACTGAAATGGCTCTTGGTAAATTCCAATCATTAAACAATCTGTAAAAATCAATTAAAATATAAATAGTGTGTTTTTTTTTTATAAATATTAACAGTATAAATATTTTTTATTTTAATTTTAAATTAGTAAATCAACAGGTGTTTTAGATGTAGAAACAGCAAATTTATTATTAGAATTAAACTCTGCAGATGGTTATAAAGATAATGGTCAAATTCCACCAGGATTTTTATATAAAGTCCATATCCCAGTATACAAGAATAGATCTATTGAAACCACTGCAACTCTTTATGATGCTGATTTAAATGTTTTATTACAATTCACTGTTAGAACCCATGGTCAAAATAATAATGCTACAGGTTTAGCACAAAATGAGTTTTGTAATTCAGGTAATACCCCAACAGGTTTAATGACCTTTGATTTAAATTCACCAGAACCAGATCCAACTGATTTCGGTCCATATCCAATTAATCGTGCTGTTCAAGGTATTGCTGGTAATGCTTTTATCATTATTAGCAATATTAGAGATGGTATTCTTATGCATACTGGTGAATGGCCAGATTGGAACCCAACTTTACCAATGCCAAACTCACACGGTTGTGTTCATGGTCATCCAACTGATATTGATGCTGTTCAAACCATCCTTACTGAAAAATTAGGTATTCAAATTAGAAATAATACTTTTACTGCCGTACCATATCTCCATCAACCACAAGGTATACTTTCAATTGAATTAATTGAATAAAAATATTATTTATTAATTTTTTTTTTTTAAAAAATATATAAAAATATAAAATAAAATTTTAATTTTGTATATTTAATTTATTTATAAATTTTTAATTTTATTTTTATTTATTATTATTATTATTATTATTATGTACAAATTGTTTAAAATATAAATTTTTAATTTGATATTTTTATTATCGATTATTATTACTATTATTATTATTATTATTATTATTATTATTAAATCTATTATTTATTACCATTATTATTCTTCATTTGTTCTAATGATTTTTGGTAGTTTTCTAATTCTCTTGCTATTTCTGGGTGTTCTTTATCAAATTTTTCGCTTCTTTCCTTGGCTTTTTGCATTTCTAATGCCTCCAATCTTCTTTCATTATATAGTTTGTTTGATAAATTTCTTTCTTCAAACTATTATTAGGGTTAGTTAGAGTTTAGTTATTTTTATTAAACAAAATAGTTTTAAAATAAATAATACTTACATATGGCTTTGATGCCAAAATAAAAATAAATAATGGAATTGTAATTAATTGAAAACCTTTTAAAAATTTCCCTCCAAAAGTTTTGGGGTTTCTTTCAATTCCCATTGCTTCTAAAATTTTATAAATTTTATCTTTAACATTATTACCACCAGTTGATCCGCTGTTATCTGACATTTCGAGTCGAATATTATATATATTAAATATTATATAATATTGTGTGTTTTTAAAAAATTTAAAAAAAAAAAAAAAACGAAAAAATCATTTTTTTTTATTTTTTAATTTATTTCATTAAAAAAAAAAGTTAAATTATGTTTTTTTTTTTTTTTTAATATCATTTTATTTATGAGGAAAGTTAATATTCAAAGAAAGATATTCAAATAAATAAAACTTAAATATAATTTAAGTTAAAATAAACTTTAATTTAAATTAATAAATTACATATTTAACTCCAATTTTAAAAAACCCCCCCCAAAAAAAAACCAAAAAAAAACCAAAAAAAAAGTAATTTTAATAAAAATCAAAATTTTGATAAATTTTATAATAATAAAATAAAAACAATGAATCCTTAAGTTTTCAGACTTTCCCCCATCCCCCATTTAAGTTTATCAATTGTTTGTATATTTATTTAAAGTAATAATCCCCTTCCCCTTTTTTTTTTTTTTTTTTTGTTTTTTTTTTTTTTTTTTTTTTTGTTTTATTTTATTTTTATTTTTATTTTTATATTTTTTTTCTTTTTTTTTTTTTTAAAAATAAAATTTAAAAAAATTATCTATTTTTAAAACCACACCATTCACCCCACATAATTCACACATATTACTTAAATACAATAATATTACATAAATTGCAATATATTTCTTTTTTTTTATTTATATTTATTTTTTATTATAAAAATATATTTATATTAAATAAAATAGTAAACACACCCACCATTCACAGACACAAACCCTCACAGACACAAATTTATAATACATTTTAAAATTTTTTTTTTTTAAAAATATCTAGAGGTGTAAACAATTATATTTTTTAAAATTAATATAATAATTATACTAAACATCATAGCATATTATAGTATCTATATATATTAATGAAGTAATAAATATTCACTAATCAAAATTTATAATAATTTTCACAACATATATATTTAATAAAATAATTTTTTTATCAATAATAATAATTTTTTATAATTATTTATTTATTTTTTTTTTTTTTTATTTATTTAAACTTAATAAAATTTTTTAATAATTATTTTTTTATATAAAATATAATTAATTAATTAGAAATTTTTAATAAATAGCTTTCTTAAATAATAATAATATAATAATAGCTAATATAGTTAATATCGTTTTTACAGTTAATAACAATAATAATAGTTTTAAATAAATCATAATGATTAGAAATATTAAAGATGGATTATCACATGTTAGAAAAGATAAAATTAAAATTCAATATGAACTCGAATTTAAGAAATTGGTTAATTTATCAGATGATTTAATTGATCAGTTTATCAGTATCAAATGGGAAAGAGGTAAAAGCGAAAAGGGAAGCACAAGGGATATTAGAGTAGTGGACAGTAATATTGAAAAATTTCACAATTCGGCAAATTTAACACATAGTGTATCATTTAGCGAAATTCCATATGATTCAAAGAATCACAGTCATCGTAATGGTTATTCAAACACTGGAAACACTCAAACCTCTGGTTCATCAAGCAGCAATACCCCATATATCGAATTAGAAAAGATACCAAAAACTCTTTCAAGAAAACAAAGTAAAATTCTCCTTGGTAATAAAATAGATGGTTCCAATAGTATGCCCGGTGGGGACTGCATTGCCATTGTTCCTCAAGAAAAAGTTGTTTTTAAAGTCCATTTATTTTCAAATACCATTCATTCAAAAATTGATCATATTTTAAATACAAACTATGAACAAAAGTTATTAAATATTTATATTTACCATGTAAGCACCAATTAAATAATTTAAATCTTTTAGATAATTTATTATTTATTAACTATTTTTTAATTTTTTTATTTTATAGAATAATAATATTTTATGCCATAGTTCAATTGATTTATCATTACATACTGAAGAGAATACAAATTACTCTGTAACAGTCCCATTCCCCTCATCATCTTTAACACAACCAACTTTATATGTAAGTAAAAAAATATTTTATGTGATTTATTTTATGCCATATTAGATTTTTTTTTAATTAATAGTTTTTATTTTTTTATTTTTATTTTATTTTTCATTACATTATTGTTTTATAAAATAAAAATTTATTATTTTAAATTTATATGTTAACATAATTTTTTTTTTTATATTATTATAAAATAATTATTGTTTTATTATTTATTATAATATTGTTCTTAATATAGATGAATATAAAATCAAGTTATTTAAAATATAATGATAAACCCATTATAAAAGCTTCAAAAGAAATTATATCAAAAAAAGAATTGGGAAACATAGTTACAAATGGGGCAAATAAATTATTAGAATATCAAGGAGAGATATATTTTATACAAAATAATAAAAATAATAATTTAAATAGTATTGGCGAAAATAAAGATTATAATAGTAAAGAAGAAAATTATCAAAATAGTAGTAAAGAGAATAATATCAAAGAAAAAAATAATATTAAAGATAATAATAGTAATAATAATAATAATAATAATAATAATAATAGCAATAATAATAACAATAATAATAAAATATTAAGATTTGAATTAGAAAATAATATTAAACATTCACCAACAGAAATTAATAAAAATTCAAATAATAAAAATATGATATCAACATCATTAAATGTTAATAGCAATTATGAAAATGAAAAAAATTCATCACAATCAACTGGTACTACATGGGATGAACTAACCGAGGAAGATCATTTTAAGAATAGTATTTCAGAGATTACACATAACAAAATAGTTTGCCAAAAGAATGAAGAAATTAAAGAACTAAATAACTCCATTAAAAAACTTCAAGGTGACCTCAGTGACCAAAAGAGACTCTCTGCCTCACTCCAAACTCTTATTGATGATTGTAGGGTTAAAGTATTGGAATATGAAGAACATTTCCATAGAGCCCAATCATTAGAAAACTATGCCAAAAAGCAATTGTTTATTGAAAGATTAGAATTTCAAAAGAAATTAGAAAAACTTACAAATCAAGTTAAAGAATCTCAACAAAATCAACTACCATCAAATTTGTCGTCGAGTGTTACTCATCTTTTAGATAGTAATAGTAAAGATATTATTAAAGATATAATTTTAAATTCAAAAGAGCCAGATAGTCCAAATGGAAGTGATGTTTCGACTTCAACAATACCATCAAGTAATCAATCGTCACCAAAAGATACCAAATTGGCCGAAAAAGAAATTGAAATTAGAAAAGAGATTGAAAGAAATGAGCGATTAGAAAGTGATTTGAAAGAAAAGTTAAACGAAATTAAATTGCTCTCAAAAGATAACGATAATTTCCAATCTCTTTTAAACAAGTGTTCAAATGAAAAGGATAGTTTAGAGTTGGTAAATAAAGAACTTTCAAACAAAGTACAAGAGTTAAGATCAAATATTGAAAAGATTACCAAATCTCAAATTCAAGAGGATTTAAAAAAAGAAAATGAATTAAGAAAAAGAAATAAAAATAGTTTTTTATTCCCACAATCAAGCGATAGTAATGCAAGTGATAGTATTAGAAATAGTGGGGGTTTCAGAAATTTAATTCAATCAATGGTGAATCAATCTTATCCATCAATGTTTCACAATCCATTAATAGCTTGGTTTTTAGCAATACTTTGTTTTTTAATGTTTATATTCAAATCATTTGAATGCTAAATTAATAATAATAATTATAATAATAATCAAAACAATCAAAAAATCAAATCCGCCAAAATTTTTTTTTTTTTTTCCAAATTAGAATTTACCAAATAAAATTTATTTATTATTTTAAAAAAAAAAATTAAAATTAAAATTTTTTTTCTGATTAATTTTTTTTTGGATTAACATTGTCACCAAATAGGAAAAAGTTTTTCAAATATTAAAGAAACAAATGTATAAATTAATAATTTAATTTATATATTATAAAATTTTGTTGGGTTTTTTATATCCAAATCCACACTTTTATCATAAATTTGGGTGCAATAAAATTAAAATTAATCTTCGATAAAAAATAAAAAGAAAATAAATATCTAAAAAAAAAAAAAATAAAATAAAATAAAAAAAAAAAAAATTAAAATTTTTTTTTTTTTATTTTTTTAAATTATTTTTTAAAAAAAATTTTATGTAAAAAATCTTTTTTTTTTTTTATTTTTTTTTTCAAAAATTATATAATATATAATACCAAAAAATTAGAAAAGAATAAATAAGTGATTTATATATAATAACATTTATTATATTGTAATTGTTTATTCTATTCTATTTAATAGTAAAATTAAACACACAACATAACCAACTAAAAAAAATTTTCTTTTTTTTTTTTTTTTTGTTTGTGTGTTGAATAAAAAAAAAAAAAAAAAAAAAAAAATTTTAATATCTTTTTTTATTTTTTTATTTGTTTTTATTTGTTTTTATTTTGTTTTCATATTTTTTATTTGTTACTGTTCAGTATTGTAATATAAAAAATTTAAACATCATCATCATCAAAACAAACATTTCCTGTATAGTACCATTCATTTTATTAAAGAAAAAAAAATAATCGATATTTTTGTAAATTTAATCAAAATAAATTTGTGTAATAATAATATAAATAATAATCAATAGTAATAATCAATAATAATAGTCAATAATAATCAAAAAGCTATGGCATCGAATGATTTTGAAGATAAACTCATTGGTGATTTAATAGGTAGAATTAATGTTCAGGTATATATTCATATTTAAAATATATCTATGGTTTAACATTATATTAATTTTTTTATTTTTATTTTTAATAGATAAAATTACATAAAAATGTTGGAGGCTATCAGACTCAAGATCAAATTCAACAAGAGCTTATAAGAAAATATAATGAAGATACTTTAATTAATCTTAGTGCAAGCAGATTGATGATAATTGCAACTGGTTTATCAGATTCATTAGAGAGTTTAATTAAAAGAAAAGACAAGGATGAAACTATTGAACACAACGCTTGGGCTCAAACTTATATTTTAGATTTGTTAGCAAAGTGTATGGCTCATCAATGGCATCATATCGTAAGTAAACAATAAACATCAAATTAAAAAATCATTATTTATATTAATATTATTTTTTAATTTTTTTTAAAAAGAAATCACAATTTCGTAATGTTCAAGGATTGGACGAAAAAGAAGCAATTAGATTAAAAGAAAAAGAAGAACAAATTTTACCACCACCATTAGAGGAGATTTTGGCTAAAACTATATTACAACATTGTATGACCTGTTTAATGAAATCCTATAGTAATAATGAGGTTGAGCTTCAAAATAGTTCAGGTAAAGTTATTTTCCAAATTTCAGCTACAAATTATGAAACAGTATCGGGAAAGATTACAGAGATAATACATGCAATTGTAACTGGCAAAGAAACTGATGAATTAACATCCCAATTCTATTTGGTAGAGCACATGAATTTAAATTCAAAACGTCTTAGTGAACTTTTAGACAAGATTACCAAAAGTGCTCAACACTTCAAAAAAGAGAAACAACAATTAATTATATCGCAAGTTATGAAGAAGGCAGTATGGAATTGGATCGATAACTACCCAATGGAGTTTGTTGCTTTGTGTCAATCAGGTGAACGTTTACCAGGTAATCCCGATATTCTTTTCGATATTTTAGATGGTTGGGCTAAAAAAACCACACTCAAAAATAGTTTTTGGCCTTTACAAACAATGTTGCTCATTCTCTGCCCAGATATCCTATTAAAAATCTACAAAGATAAGAGTACCGATTTTGCAAGTAAAGAAAAGTTTTTGGATTCATTAAAGAAATCATTAAAAGTAGGTAAATTGGCTGATGTTGCATCTGTTTGTTATGTTGATATCTGCAAGGCCTCCACCTTTGTCTCAAAATCTGATATGTCTGCTCTCCGTTATATTGTTCCAGCAATCGAAAATGAATTAAAAGAACGTTTATTCAGTAGTAAATCAGCAGAAGGTCCATACGATTTAGAATTAATGACCGATTGTTTAGTTTCCTCATTTAGAATTTCACCACGTAAGGTTCAAACTTTAATCCCAGAATTCTTTAGCCAAGATTCACCACCACATTATAAATTAGTATTGGTTAAATCTTTGTTACGCATTGCTCAAGAGGGTAATTCTTTGCCATGGAATCCAACCATTGCAGATGCATATCCTTTAGTTGCTGGACCACTCCGTCAATTATTCCAAGATAATTTAGCTTCAATTCGTAATTATATTCATTTAAAGAATGCCACCGACAAAAAATCAAAATCTCAATTTGAACGTATTAATCTAGATATTCAAATAATGTCATTTTTAATTCAATTATTTTTGGCTGATCCAAATTTACCATTATATTCATTAGTAAGTAGAAATTTAATGTGCAAATCTTTTTTTTGCAGGAGAAACCCAATCACCTTTTATTTTTTAAATTCAAATTTACTAATTTTTTTTTTAACTTAGAAAACACCAGCACAAGATTTAGAAGAGATAAGAAATATTATTATTGGTTTATGTTTTTGTTCATCCCAATTTCATTTACCAGAAATTTCAGAAGTTTCAGCTGAAACATTATTAAAGTTCCATAACCCAATTTATATTGAAAGTTGGTGTGCAAAAAATATGATTAACGGATTTTGGGAAATTAGCTCAGCAGTCAATGTTTCATTAGCAAATACATTAATCGAACAAAAAGAAATTAAAGCAGAACAAATTCAAAAGCTTGTTACTTTACTTGAAGAAATTTTAGTTAGAAGAAATAGCTTTTTAGAGAAATATAAAGAAAATTTACGTCCAGAGCAACAAGTTAAAGATGTTCGTTCTCAAGGTTCAACAAAATTAGAAGTTGCACTTTTAATCCATCTCTGTTCATCCGAACCAGATATTTGTTCAAAATGTGCCACTTGCTTTGGTCTTTTATGTGAAGAGATTGAAATTCTTGGTGAAATGGATGAAGTAAACTCTATCGTATCCAATTATAATGTTTATAAAAAACTTTCAACTGCAGGTGTTCTTCAAACTGGTAGACAACATCAACAAAAAGTTATTCGTACTTTACTTCGTCGTATGGAAGCTCAAACCACAGGTAATTTTGCTGCATGGGAAGATGTTTATTCTCGTTGGACAGCTTTAACTCCAGCTCTTCTCTACAATGATGAACAAGATAAAACTAAAAAAGAAAAATTAGCAGCTAATGTTATACCACGTTTAATCACCGATAAAACTCCAGCCGAAGTTAAACAAGAGTGGCATAATGGATTGGGTTTCCTTTGTGGTTTATCTGCTGTTACATTTAACAAAGAAACTACCGTTAAAATTACCCCAATTGTAGAGCAAAGAGGTCTTCGTCCAAATTTCAAAAAGAATCAACCAACAGAAAAGATTGTAAAGGTAATCAATTCATTTATGGATGAACTCATGGAATTAATCGTTAGTGATAACGCTTTTATTCGTGAAACTGCAATGTCTTTAATTGGAACAGGTTTATCTCCAGCATCATATAGTTACCTTTTCCGTCATCTTCAAGCCGAACTCCAAAGTTATTTTGGTGAAGCTGGCCAATTAGAGGTTAATGATCGTTATACACTCTTTGTTGACCAAGTTATTGGTATTGTTAAGCACATTTTAGATCTTTCTCATGAAGCAGATGATCTTTCAATGGTTACCTCATTTGAAGGTCTTATGCTATTAATAATCAAATATATCAATTATTTAGTTCAATCAACTACATCATTAAAAATTAAAAAGAATTTCTGTTCTCTTTTGGAAATTATGATGATCAAACGTCATCATATCTCTTTCAGTAAAGAAATGGAATTTAGAAATACTCTTGTCGAAAACATTATCGAGTGGACCAGTGATTTCAATTTGAAATCCTCTCTATCTGTTTCAACTGATAACAGTCGTATAGAAGCTCAAATCTCTGCTGACCCAGCCTCAAAGAATGAAATTACCCTTACTAAAAAACTCTTAAAAGAAGTAGATGTTGCTTGTATTACAACTATGGCTTCATTACTTCGTGGTTTGGTTTTAACAAGTGGCGATGGTGATGCTCAAGGTAACAAGTTTGGTAAATACTTTACTTTCTTTACAACTTTATTAACCCGTAAACAAGATAATGAATCACCACCACAATTAGCTGAAAATGCAATCAAGAGTCTTTCAAATATGCTTAGTGCCAATATCAGCAGTGGTTTAGAATATTTCGTTACTATGGGTTATCATGAAGATCACGAAACTCGTTCAGCTTTCCTTCGTGTCATTGCAAATATTTTAAATCAAGGTACTGGTTTTGTAATTGAAGATGATAATAGTAGTGATCGTTACGAAAAATTTGTAGAATTACTCTTAGAAGCCGATTATCATTCCATTATTGCTTTAGGTGAAATTACCCAAATTACAGAAGCTGATGAAGTTGCAAGAGTTTTGGTTAATTTTTCCGAAGCAAACGATAAGACCATGGCTGTATTAAAAGCTGTTATTCAACATGAAGTTGATATTACCGAAGGTGCAAATACTTTATTCCGTAGAAATTCTGTTGCCACTAAAATGTTGGCTGCTTATGCTAAATTAGTTGGTGGTCCATACTTAAAGGGTACATTATATCCAGTTATTAAAACTATTCAAAACAATACAGAATCAATGGAAATTGATCCAGGAAAAATTCAAGCAGGTGAAGATATTCAAGCAAATACTACTGCTCTTATTAATCTTTGTAAACAATTTATTTCAGCAATCCAAAATTCGACCAATCTTCTTCCAACATCATTTAGAGAAATTTGTAATTATATTAGCAAAGTTGTTACCGAAAGATTCCCTGGTAGTGAAAGAATGGCTATTGGTGGTATCATGTTTTTAAGATTTATTTGCCCAGCTATCGTTTCACCAGAAGGTTTTGGCATTGTTACTCAAGGTAGTACTATAAGTAAAGAAACTCGTAGAGCTTTGGTTTTATGTACCAAAATTCTTCAAAATATGGCAAATGGTCAAATGGGTGTTCGTGAAAATTATATGGCCAATTTAAATCAATTTGTTAACGAATATGCTAAAGTCATTGATGATATTTTCGAATCATTCACTATATTAAATGCCGAAAGTACTCCAGTTCCAAAAACAAACATCACCGATGAACAAAAAGACGAAGATATCATTTTATTACATCAACACTTCAGTTTTAGTTTAGAAAAGATTACCAACCAAATTTCCTCAGTCATGAATCAAAAAGAAGTTGCTGATCGTCTCATTCAAATTCTTCAACGTCTTGGTCCACCACCTGATCTTCAAGATGCCAAGAGTAAAAAGAAAACTATTGTAGCTCGTTCAAATCAGCAATCAAAACAAGGTGCAACTGGTATCTATGAAGAGTTTATGCGTAGACTTTCAAATTTCAATACAGACGCTCTAAAACAAAAGAAAATCTTCTTTAAACATGGTGTCACCAAAGAAAAACATGCAGTTTTCTATTATATTGCTCGTAGAATAGAGAGATCAGTTGATATGGAGCATCTTTTATATCACATTTTAAAGACTCTTCAAGATGTTAATAGAAATCCATTTGTATTGGTCATCGATTGCACTTTGGTTGGTGTTGAACACCAAATTCCACTTCCATGGTGTACAACTTGGTTACGTCATTTCCCAGACTATTTAGCAGAACAAGTTAAATCAATTATCATTATTAATCCAAATCATACTGTTAAAAAATATTCAAAACGTCTTTCAAAATTAATGGGTTCAGCAGTTTCAAAGAAGGTTGTATTCATCACTCATCCACAAAAATTTTATGAAATCATTGAGGAAAAAGAATCAGGACTTCCATCATCAAGTGTAGCTGTTGAAACTGATGTTAAATCTACTTTCTCACCAGTACTTAAATTATCTGGCCAATATGGTGGTGAAAAAATGATTACACTTCGTGTTAGTACCGACCTTTTACAATTAGTTAGCATTAATTTACATAATCTCTTTGGTAAACAAACTACTTTAATTGATCTCTTCCATATATCAAATGTTTTAGAAATTACAAGATCATCATCAGTTGGAGAAGATCAAGAGTTTATTATTAATTATGAATTTGAAGGTGTTAGAACTATGACTTTCCGTTCACCAGCTATTCAACAAATTATTCAAGCTGTTAATCAATCTAAAGCTCGTTGGAAGCTTTCAAAACCAGAAACTAAAATTTCAAATCGTGTATTTAGACCACAAGATATTCCAGGTACATTATTAAATGTTGCTCTTTTAAATTTAGGTAGTCCAAAGAATTCACTCCGTGTAGCTTCATATAATATGTTATCTGCATTATGTAGAAATTCGAATTTCTCATTAAAACATCAACTCTTAGAAACCAATGGTCTTTGTATCCCAAAGAATAGCACCCAATTTGTTATTCGTGTATCAGAAAAATTAGCTAAAACCGAAACCGGCCTCACTTTAGAATTTTTAACAGAATGTTTACATGGTATTACCAAGGCCTCATCTGTAGCCAAATATTTAATTTTAGATTATATCTCACCATGGATTCCAAATTTGGTCATTTTCTGTCAAAAATCTGAACACAGCGAAGAAAAATATCAAAAGACTATCAATGTTATTACTAGTCTTATTGATTTGGGTGTTCGTGAAACAAGTATGAAATCAGTAATCCTCTCTAAAGTTTGGGAAACCTTCGGTAGACAAGATCCAGAATTAGTTAACCTTGCATTAAAGTGTTGCTTAAAGAAATGTATCGAGTCTGGCTTTGGTGGTAATGCATGTGAAATAGTTGGTGAAATGATTTCATCGATGGCATGTGAATCACCACAATTAGTCTCAGGCAAAATCATTCACAAACTTATCAAGCTTTTAGAAAGAACAGGTGAAACTCCAGCAGCTGAACTCTCTGAACACAAATTATGGCCACAAATTATTGTTTATCTTCGTCTCTTACTTCAACTTTCATTTGATAATCTCATTTATGCTCAACAGTATCTTCCAGAGTTATTATTTATCATTTGCACATTATTCTCAACTGGCAATGTTAATGTTCGTATTACAACTCATGGTCTTTTAATTAATACTGTTCATTCACTTTATACCACATTGGTTTCAAACGAAAACAAATTATCAGGTTTACCATTCATGTTATCAGAATTTGGCCAACCATCATTCAAATTACTTTTTGGTATTGGTGGTGCTAGTTTAAATATCGACTTTACTACCCCAGATCCAACCTCTAAAGAATTAGAAAAAATGTCAATTACCAATGTTGATCCAGTCGTTAGCAGTATTCTCCAGGCTTTAAATATATGTTCACCAAATAATCAAACTATCGGTACAGCATGGCACTCAAGATGGCTAAGTTTCACCACAATTAACTCTATGAGATCAAATCCTCCAATCCAAGCACGTTCATTTATTATTTTAGGTATTATAGCTCGTTCATCAACTTTTGTAAATGATGAACTCTTTGAAAATATTATTCGTGTATTAAAGAATGTTGTTTCATCATCATCACCAAAAGTCATTCAAGAAAATAATGATTTAATTGTTAGTATCCTAAGTTGCCTCACCAAGCTTTTCGAATACCTTCCAGTTAACAGCAGATTCCTTACATCATTATTCTGGGTTGCCACTACATTTATCCAAATCTATGACCCAAGAATTTTCACAGCCGCTATTTCTTTCTTGGAAGTAATGCTTAAAGTATTAGATCGTGCCGATCTATTTAAAGAATCAGTTACTAAAACATTTATGGCATCAAGAGATCCACATGCTATTATTCTTAGCAAATTAGATGGTATTACCGGCGTTAGCTTTGAGTCCAATTTCTCATTTGCCATTGCCTCACATCTCTTAAAAGGTTTGAAATACCCTTCAACCAAGACCACAACATCACGTCTTTTAACCACATTCCTTACAATCAGTGCAAAGAAATCAAATGGTTCAGGTATTTTAGGTTATTTAGCTGCATTATTAACTACTGAAAGTGAAGTTGGTAATCTAGAACAAATCATTCAATTAGCAAGTGATGGTGGCTCTAATAGAACTTCACCACTTCATGTTTTATTCAACGATCATATGATCCCAGATGTTGATCATGCAAGTCTTTTATTCACATTCCTCGTTACAGTTTTAGCCCACACAGATCGTGAACATGAACAACTTTTTATCTATGAAGCTTTGAAAGAAGGTATTCAATTTATGCCACAAGCTTTCCCAGTTATCTACAAAACTTTTATCCCCAAACTTTCTAGTATCATTTCAACCTCTCAAATTGAAAAGATGATGTCAGCTTCACTCTCCATTATGGAACATATGTTCTCTATTGAACCTCCAAAATCTGAACTTCATCCACATTTAGCTTCATCACCAATTTTAAATAGCTCTTCATCCCCACCATTAAACTCATCAAACTCATCACTCTCATCATCAAGTAATGCTATTAATGCCTCTGGTGCTTCTGCTAATTTACCTCTTAATGGCACCTCAAACAACTATGGAATTGGTCATCTCAAAAAATTAGGTTTCCAAGGTTTACCAGAGTGTGGTTCAGGTTTTAGTAGACCATCAACTCAATCACTTAATGATTCTATTCTTAAAACCCTTTCAGAATTATTAAACCAAATTTCTTTATCAAAACAAATTAAATAATAATAATAGTAATAATAATAATAATAATAGTAATAGAAACAATAATAATATATTTTTATAAAATTAAAAATATATATAATTTTCGAAAATTATAGTTTAAAAAAAGATAAAAAAAAAAAAATAAATTATTTATTAATATGTATTTTAAAAACAAAATAATTAATCTAATGTTTTATTTTTAAGAAAGATTTTAAATAACTTTTTTCTTTTCTGATTGATCTAAGATCTTCTAAAAGCTCTGTGTATGTTTTGATAAAATTTTGAATAGAATGAATACCCGAACCAAATTGGATCATTTCAGGATGGAGATGGTGGAAAACTTTTTCATTTAAAAGTAAAACACGGATTGATTGGAAAACTGAGCCTAATTGAACCAAACTGTCATTAATGGAGGAAGATGAATCTAATATTGCTTTTAATGATGATTTTTTGTCATGTTTACCATCTATCAGTTGACTGAGTTCAAATTTTGAATGGTTCAATTGTTTAAATAATTGGTTAAGTGGTCTTTTTAATTCGAACATCGATAAAATTAATAGATCACTAAAAATGGGATTAAATGAATTTTCCAATGCTACAAGTCTTGTGAAAGATTCGTTTAATTTATCTACAATTGTAAAGTATTTGCTAGTTTTTGAAGGTGATACGAAAACCATTTCTGATCTAATATCATAGAGAGAGGATTTAACTTGATCTATTGATATTTTGATTGTCCTAATTGAGTCCATAATAATTTTTCTCATTTCCCTTCTGTGTTGAATAGTTTCATCATTGATTGAAATAATATTAAAATGTGGATCGTGGATATAAGCTGCATTAAGATTGTACTGGGATTCTCTAGTTTCACTATTATAATTACCATCAATAAACTCCTCATCGTTGCAATCTTTTAAAATTTCAATTAAAACCTTTCTTCTTTCATCTGTTAAGCTATTGTTGTTATTATTGGTGTTATTATTGGTACTAATGTTATTATCATTTGGACTATTAATATTAGATGCACCATTTGATCCATCTTTGACCTGTTCTCCTTGATCTTGATCTTGATCTTTATTTAAAAATATACTTAATTTCATATTATTATTTGTGGTTATTTCTTCTCCCATTCTTAAACCATGTTCAATAATATTTATAAAGGTATCTGACATTTGATTTGTAATTTTAAATATTTTAATTCTTGAATTTTTGTAACTGAAATATGGAAAAATTACTAAACCTATAATGATTACCCAAACTACACCAACCAAAATGTGAAAGGCTCTTAAAACACCATACATATAATCGAAATCTTTAGTGAAATTCTGACCCAATACAATTAATAAAAAGGTAATACCTGAAACTGCCCCACCATATGAATATCTGACATCTTGTTGTGGATAAGAGATGATTACACTCCAAATAAATGTAATTAAAAGAATTACAATTTCTTTTGCTGGAGTTGGGATAATACTACATAAAAGGGATGTGAGAAAACCAACAATAGCCCCTGCGATAGTACCAATAAAACGATTAATACCACGAGTGATAGTTGCACCAGCAGAAGGAACCATGACAAGCATAACAGTGGCACATGTCCAAACACCATGAACAACAAATCTCCCATGAGACCAACCATCAAAATAAAAGAATGGAATAATAGTTGATAATAATCCAAATGCAACCTGTAACGGATACCTCCATTTATTATTTAAAAAGAAATTAAAATGAATCCATTTTAGTATTTTTATAAATAATGAATCTAGTTCGTCTGGTTCTGAAATTGTTTGCTCTTGTTGTGGAGGAACTTTGCTTTTTCTTCTAAATAAACGGATAATATTCTTTATAAAGAAAGTATAGATGAACTTTAATATTTTCCAAAATAATCTTGGGAAGCTTATAAACACAAACAATACACCATGTTTAATAATTTCCCATCTACATGATTCTCTTCTTTGTAAATTTTTAATTTTGATTAAAGTATCTGCAATTTGACGTTGTTGTAGGGTAAAAGACATAATTTCATGAACAAAGAAATGTACTTTTGAAACCTCTGTCGCATTTAAAATTGGGTGATTGTTTTTTTGATATTGGTCAACTACTTTTTTAAAAGCCCCTCTAACCCTATGAACTAGCTCTTCAGTTTCATCAAATGAATTATAAAGAATTGAACTAACAATACTAATAACATCACCATTATAAATCCCAGTGGTACTTTCTTGTTTACCACTACTATTTTCATCTGTTGTTTCTTTTTCTTTCTCTTTTTGTTTATCGATACTATTATTTCTTTTATTTTCTGGTAATTTTTTAGATGATAAAATATCAATCATTAAACCCATTTGCAAATAAACCTCTTCAACAACACAATCTATAAATGGTACCAAAGGTGAAATTAACTCTTGACTTGCTAAAGGACTAAACCCATTTTGAATTGACATTTTAATGGAAACCAACTTCTTAAATGATAACTCGAACATTAATATTAACTTTGAATAGGTTTGATTTAAATCTGCATTCCAGAACTCTGCTTTTGATTCATTGAATAATGATTGCATTCTTGTAATTTCATTTGTTAATTTAATTTCTAAAAGTTCTACCTCTATTTCTCCAGAGTCTAAACCTTTTTTATTTAAATCCTTAATTTTCTTTTTACTTATTTCGTCATTTGAAATTTCATAGTTTAAAGTTTTTAGAATTTTCTTATTTTCTTTTTTCTTTTCTTTTTCTTTTTCTTTTTCACCACTATCATCACCATCATTGTTGTTGCTAATAATATCTTGGTTATTTACAGACATTTCTCGGTCAATTGATTTAATACTCTTGAGATCGGCTGGTTCATTACCAATAGTTGTTGGGGAATTAATTAAAATTTTTGGTATTTCTTCAGTTATTTGTGGTGGTTGTGATTGTTGAGGTGTTACTTCAATTGGTGAGTTTGGCGGTATGCTAAATTGATTTTCATTTGATTTTATTGACTCTAGTTCAATATTTTGGCTATCTTTAATTGAATCGTTAGCATTTGATAAAGTTTCCTGGGTTTCTAAAATTTGTTGTAGTTGTTGTTGCAATTGTTTTTCTTGATGTTTAAAATCTATTATTGTATTCCTATCGATACCTATTGATCTTGCTAATGGTAATTTTAATTTTTCTTTTTCTTCGAAACTAGAGTTTGCATTACTTGTGCTACTATTTGGTAAAACTGGAATAAAATTTGGAATTTCAAATACATTTTTATTATTTGAATTTATTGTATTGTTTGAATTTAATGTATTATTACTAAAACAACTATTTGAACTGGAGTTTAAAACCGATGAATTTGGATTTAAATTACCACAAAGTGTATTACTGAGTATATTATTATTGTTATTAATATCATTATTTGATTTAAATAATATATGACTTGAACTTTTTAACTGCTGTTCTTTAATTAGTTGATTTTCAACCTCCTCAAAAGGAGTACGGTAATTGTTACCTAAAAACATATTATTGCTATTATAAAAAATACTATTTGTAATTGCTGCTGAATTTGATATATTTGTACTATTTATATTTTCATTATTATTATTATTATTTAAAATATTATAAGATTCTTTAAATATTTTATCTTCTAATTGATAACCCAATGCCCTAAAATAAATTCTTGCAGAGTACATAGTTTTAATTGACTTTCTAAAAAGTAAACGGGATGCTAAATTTGGGAATAAAAGGGCACCTATTAAAACTGAGCTATAAATAAATCCACCCGCTACAATATTTTGCCAAATGTTTGAATGAACACTTTCTACTGGGGTAAAATACAAAACTACAATAATATCTAAAAACATCTTCTTCATAAATAAGCCGGCTAACCATCTCCTTCCAGGCATTACCACCAGAGTAGCTAATATATAAGAGAAAAAGAAGGTAATTATAAATGTAATCCATCTTATATCTCTTACCACTATAATGACTATATATACATAAAAGCTTGCAGCTGCTGTACCTAAAAACATTGTTGCACCAGACATAATCGAGCTATAAGATGAAACATTACATGATGTCATAATGCAAAACACTGGGATTAAACATAAAACGTTTATATTGAAATCGAATCCCCATGGAATTAAAGCATATACACTTCCAACCATCGTTATAAATGCCTCTACTAAGGCTATCCTAGTTTTTAACCCATATGTGAATGGTATAGTTAATATATTTTTGAATTTTTTAAAAATTTTCATTCCTGTTTGAAAAAAAAAAAAATTATTTTTTAAAAAATTAGAATCTTAAAAATAAATTTATTTTCATTATATATAAATAATTGTTTATTTATTTTAATGAAAAGAAAAAAAAAATTATTTTAAATAAAAGAAAAAAAATTATTTTAATTTAGATTTTAAATTTTATTTAGTTGTATGTGTATGGTTTACTTGTGCGGGGGTAAAATAAATTGCGAATCTTTTAAAATAATATAAAAAAAAAACCAATATACTAACTTTAAATAATGTATACCAATTGATGGTATATACCACTAGGAATTTAATACCTATGAAAAAAAAAAAAAATTTTAAATATTAAATGATATTTAATTATAATTATAAAAAATAAAAAAAAATAAAATAAAAATAAAAATAAAAATAAAAAATTTAATTAAAAAAAAAAAAAAAAAAAAATAGTTTTTTTTGTTTTTTTTTTTTTTTAACATATCGCATAAGTGTTTATATAAATTTAAACTATTTTTCACCAAGGTCTCAAAAGACCAATACGATGCGTATTTTTTTTTTGATAATGCACAATATATTAAAAATAAAAATACACTTCCATAATAATTAGTAAAAATCCATTTATTAACAACAATATAAAAAAATAAAAAAATATAAATATTTATAAGAAAAAAAAAAAAAAAAAAAAATTGAATAAATAAACAAATGTATTTATTTAAATTAGTAAATAATAATAAATAAACAATTCATTATTTTTTGATTTTTTGATTTTTTTTTTTTATTTGATTTTTTTTAAAATTTTTTTTTTATTTTTTATTTTTTATTTTTTTCATTTTTTTATTTTCATTTAATTTGCATCAACTACACAAAAAGAATGAATGTTTTAAATAGACTATCACAAAATAAAACTCAATTATTCCAAACACCAAAAACATTATTATTACAACACTATTATTCAATTATTGGTAAAGCAAATGGTGTGTTAGGTACACCAGAATTCAGAGTTAATTATTTTTATCAAGGTAAAGGATCTGCAGGAAAACAAGTTTCACCATGGCACTCAATTCCACTTAGACCAAATCAACAATCAGATAATTTCAATTGTGTTATCGAAATGCCAAAAGGTACCACTGAAAAAATGGAGGTATCAACAAAGGAATTACTCAATCCAATTAAACAAGATACTAAAAATGGTCAATTACGTTATATAAAACATGGTCCAATTCCATACAACTATGGTATGTTTCCTAGAACTTGGGAGAATCCAAATACTCCAGATGAAACCACTAAAATTCCAGGTGATAACGATCCAATTGATGTTATTGAAATCAGTGATACACCAGTTCCTATGGGCTCAATTATTGAGGTTAAAGTTTTAGGTGCTTTTTCACTTATTGATCAAGGTGAAACTGATTGGAAAGTCATCACAGTTCAAAAAAACAATGTCAATTTTGAAAAAATTAAAAACCTTGACGATCTCGAAAAGAAAATGCCTGGAACTCTTAATAAAATTCAAGAATTTTACAAAAACTACAAAGTTTGTGAAGGTAAAGAACCAAATACAATTTTTAATACTGTTGGTCCAGCCGAGGCAAGAAAAGTTGTTTTCCTTGCCAATCAAAGCTATCACGATTTAATAGGAACCTTCACTTTAAAATAAATAATAAATAATTAAAACTATTTTATTTTTTTTTTTATTTTTTTAAAACATTATATTTTTTTATAAAAATATAAAAAATCATTTCATTTTTTTTGTTTTTAAACAAAATTAGCATATTCTTAATTACCAAAAATATTATAATTTCATTCTGTTTTTTTTTTATAGGATTTTTAACAAAAACCATTTTTTTTTTTTTTTTTTTTTTTTTTTTTTTTTAATTTTTTTTTTAATTTAAAAAAATTTTTCAAACTTTTTTTTTTATTTTTTTTAAAAACTAAAATATCCCCACAAATAAAAAAATAGTTACAATTATAAAAAATAATGAAATCTTTATATATATTCGATTTCGATGGAACCATATTTAAATCACCAGAGCCAAATCCAGCTTTATGGACCTCACAAGTTATTGGGAAAATAAAGTCAATGCCTTCAGAAAATAATGGTTTTGGTTGGTTTCAAGATACTATTACTTTGGATGAACCTTATGTACCAGCTAGCCCATCTGAAGATTGGTTTAATATGAATGTCTTAAACGATGCTTTAAACTCTTATAAGGACCAAAACAATGTTGTTTGTAAGTAACAATTTATGATAAATTTAAAAAAAAAAAAAAAAAAAATTATATTAATTTATGAAAAAAAATTAAAAATAAAAAAATAATTCAAATTATAAAAATTTAAAAAAAACCAGGTTTATTAACAGGTAGAACAACCTTATATTCAAATATTATTGATAGAATTTTAAAATCTGCCAATTTAAATTTTCATCACAAAGGTTTAAAACCAATAAATATTCCAAATGTACAAAGAGAATCTACATTTGATTTCAAAAAGAGATTTATTTTAAATTTAATCAATTCAGTATATAGTAATCAAATCAAAGAAGTTATTGTTTATGAAGATAGAATTGGTCATGTCGAATTATTTGAAAACTTCCTTTCCACCCTCAAATCAATTACTTATAAAGTTATTCATATCAACGAGTCACCAAAATATCTCTTAGAAAGTGATGAATTGAAACTTGTAGAGTATTTAGTAAAGAAGAATACTCAAGATTTAAGTAATGTTACTTTAAAAAAGCATGTTGATTACACTGGCTTAGTTTTAAACAAAGAGTCAGTTTCAAAACTTGTGTCTCTTTTCGATTTACCAAGTGATTGGACAATTAAAGCCCATCATGTTACTTTAAATTTAGGTTCATATAATCCAAAATCATGGAGAAATATGGAAGAAGACAATGAATTATTAGCCGTCCTTACTAAAATTAATTTAAATACTACAACTACAATAGAAACAGCTGAAAGTCAAACAACTTTAAATGATGTTTCATCCTCAACTCACTCAGTTTCTGTAACTTCCACTACCACTACCACTTCCACTACTTTTGAAAGTAATGACTATTCAATAACCCATCCAATAGGATCAACCTGGGAATTTAATATTGAAGCTATTGGTTTTAGCGAAAATGCTCTAGCAGTTAAAGTCCAAGGAATTCCTTCATCAAATGTTATTCCACATTGCACTATTGCAATCCATCCATTTGCAAAAGCAGCTGACTCAAACTCTATTAGAAATTGGTATCCAATCAGTCATTTCAAACCAGGTGAAAAAACCAAATTAAAATCTCATAATGAAACCGACTTAAAACAATATTATCAAAACCTTGTCAATAAACAGGATAATTCAGCTAATACCTCACCATCTAAAGGAAAACCAAAAACCTCAAATAAACCAAACTCACCTTCAGAATGCAGCGTTTTAATACCAGTTGACTTTAAAGACTCACTCACACTTTCTGGTACAATCACTGAAGTTGGTAAATTATTTTATGATATTCCAAAACCAGTAAAGCAAGCCAAAGTTGACCCATATTCCCTTATTCGTGCCGCTAACCCAGAGTTATCTAAAGATGAAATCATTAGAATTATTCCAAAGGTAAAAGCTTGGTTGTCTAATAATCCTAAAGAAACCAATACCAAAGATATTATAAATCATTTAAAAAACAATATTAATGATTTAAAATAAATAATGAAATAAATAAAAACCATTTTGTATTTTATCACCAAAGCTGTTATTGACCATACTGTTTAAAAAATAAATATCATAAAAGCAAAACACATTTTATGATTATAAAAAAAATTTAAAAAAAAAAAAAAATGGAGATTAAATAAAGATATTTAGAGATATGGTTTTTTTTTCAAACAAAAAGATAAGATCCTAGACAATCAATTGATAAAAAAAACTCTTTCTATTGATTTTATTATTACAAACATAATTTTATTTTTATTTTTTTAATTTTTTTTTTTTTTTTTTGATTAAAAATATCTTTGTATTTTTTTTAAAAGAACAATAAATAACCGTTCTAGTTTTTTCATATTAAATAAGAGGTTGAGGTTTGATAATGTGTGGAAGTTTTTTGTGGTTTTAAATAATTATAATTTGAATAAGCCAATTTTATAAAAAAAAATTATTGATTTATAAAAAATATAAAGTTGTTTTTTTGATGTGATGATAAATATTGAGAATGATTAAATAAAACTAAATGATTACTATTATTAAATTTATAAATATTATTATTTACTATTTACTATTATTATTATTATTATTATTATTAATGTTATTTACTATTTACTAAAAGAAAAAAAATGAAATGAGATGATGTAAAAAAAAAAAAATTTATCGCTACAATAATACATTTATAAAATTTGACAAAAACCTGTCTTTCTTGGTTCAGATTGAGTTCCTCCTCTTGTACCTTTTGAATTTGGATTTTCATTTGCTTTAACTCTTAATTTTGTCCAATTTTCTTCTGAATATAATCTATTTATTTTAAAAGAAATGATATTAATATTATGGTTGCTATGATCGTATAGATTTAGATCCAATCTAAAGTTTAAAAACTTACTTTTCACCTGCTCCTTTTACAACCAATTGAACTAACTCATCAACACCTTCACCTGAAGCTGCACTGGTCTCTATAAATGAAATACCCTTTTCATTTGCAAAATTCTATATATATAAAAACAATTAATAAAAATGCTTAAATACTATAATAAAAAAAAGTGTGTAATAATATACCTGTGCTGTACTAGGATTTACAACTTGTTGTGTTGATTCTTTTTTGGTGCTTGCTAAAGCTATGTAGCAATCTTTTTTTGCATATCTTTGAACTTCTGTATACCATTGAGTTAAATGATCAAAACTTGATTGATTACTTTGATCATATGAAAGAATAATTATATCTGTAGTTGAATAAAATGATCTTGAAATTGTTCTAAATCTTTCTTGACCAGCTGTATCAAGCTATATATAATATTATTTAAATAATTAGTGAATAAATTCGACAATAAATATACTTTCTATATAAATTCTGTGCTATAAATAAATAAAAATGAAACCTACGAATTTTAATAATATTTGCTTTCTTCCAAATTGAATTGCCTTTGATTTCTATAAAGATTATTGAGGAAAATAAAATATTAGAAAATAAACAATCGAAACTAAAGTTAAAATAAAAATATATACCACTGAATTTGCCATATTTATATTTGCTTGTTCTAATGTTGGAAATATATTCTCCTAATATTTTTAAAAAACAAATGGGTTAGTTGCTATTGTTATTGTTTATAATATCTAAAATTATTCTTAACATACACTCATCCTCCATATTAAAGATGATTTACCAATTGATGGATCTCCAACTATAAGGATCTTTAAAGTTATATCGCTGTATGTTTATGAATATTTGAAAATTTGATTTTTTTTTTTTTTTTTTTTATATATTTTTGATTTTATTTATTTATATATTTGTAGAAAAACAAAATAAAATTAAAAATAAAAAAAAAAGAATAAAAATAAAAAAAAAGAATTATAAAAATTATAAAAATAAAATTAAATATTAATATAAATGTAAACATGTAAAAAATAAATTTAACACTTTACCACGATGAAATTGAGGTAGCCATGGATGGTTTTTTTTTTTTTTTTTTTTATTTTTCTTTATATATTATTTTTTGCTATTGAGTATAAAATCCTTTTGCTCATTTAGTTTATTCCAAAAAAAAAGATAAAAAAAAAATAAAAAAATAATTTTTAAAAAAAAAAAATTTTAGAAAATAAAAAAAAAAATTAAAAAAAAATAAAATTTTTTTTAAAATTTTAAAAATATTAATGTGTGTTGAGTTGCTCTTTCTGTTAAATCAAAAAATTTAAATATAATACACACTATTGTGTTTAATATTTATATATAAATAGTATCTAATTGTTTTATAGTCAACAGTAATTAATATATTTTTTTTTTTTTTTTTTTATAATTTTAAAAATCAATTTTTTTCTCAAAGATAAAGAAAAAAACACATTCTTTAAATAGAAACATAGAATTAATACCAATAATAAAACACACATATACACCACACCACACGCTCACATACAATATACAGCATACAAACACTCACAAATTTAAATATATATTAAATAAAATAAAGGTATACTTAAGATACCCATATATATTCTTGAATTCAAAAGTTAATTATATGTGTGTTTATTTAAAATTTTAAAACTCTTAATTTAAATTTTAAAAATCATTCGCATAATAAATAATAAATAAACATCACATATCACACATATAACATTATAATTATAAATTCATTAGAGAAGTAGATTATTTGGGAAAAATGAGTATGATTAAAGCAGTAGTTTATAGCTCATTTATATTCAATTTTTTATTAATAATCGGCAGTAATTCAAAAAAGAAACAAGGCAGTGCATGTCCATTTTGTTGTTATCCAACGGAAAATATTATTTTTCAAGTAAGCAAATTTTTCCTATTCTTTTTTTTTTTTTTTTTTTTTTTTTTGTGTTGTTAAAGATAAATAATATCGCACTATCACCACTGCACTTTTTTTACAATCCCAGAAATCAAAATTTGTTAATAACAATAATTTTTTTGTGGTTGTTTTATTTTAATTCAATTATTTTTTGAAAAAGATATTTTTATATTTTTTATTTTCAAAGAAATATCTTCCAATCAAAATTTTAATTGGTTCACTTAAAAAAAAAAAAAAAAAAAACTAACGCATAAATTTTAAAAATATTTTAAAAATTTATATAGAACGATAATATAAAAGTGTTCAACGACAGAACACCAAAGGCAACAGTTCATTATTTAGGTAACTTTTTTTTATTATATAATAATCAAATGTTTTCGTTATTAACAACCACTTTTTTTTTTATAAAATTATAATAATTAGTATGTCCAAAAATTCATATTGAATCAATCAAAACACTCGAACCATCAGATTTACCAGTTTGTATTGTATCTTTATTTTTAAAAAAAAAAAAAAAAAAAAAATTAAATAAAAAAAAAAAAAAAAATAATAAATCTAATCTACTTTTCTTTGGTAAAAAAAACGTTTTATAGTAATTGAAATGAAAAATGTAGCCAATCAAATAGTAGCAGAAAAATTCCCAAACCAAAAGTATAGATTAGGTTTTCATGTTCCGCCATTCTATAGCGTTAAGCATTTACATTTACATTTACTAGTAGAACCATTTTATAAATTCAAAAAATCGAAATATACGCCTTATTTCGGAGGGCTTTGGTATAAAGATATTGATACAGTTATAAATGAACTGCATGATAAAGCGGTTTAATCATTCAAATAAATACATAAAATAAACATAAAACAACCAATATTATTTATTATTTT